CCAGGCTAGCTTCTCAGGCAGGACTGAGAGGCCATGGGCCTGCAGTTTCTGCAGCTCCCTGCAGCCTGTTCCAAAGCTAGCATCCATATCAGGATGGTCCCTGCTCCCTGGGGCGGAATGGGACGGGTAGAGGACAAGGAATGAAGGTCAGGAGAAGAGTACAGAGATGCTTCTTGCCACTGCAGCAAGAAATTTGGTGCACTGAAAGCTCAGCTGGAGATGAAGGTGGCCAAAAATGTGAGGCACAATAAAAATTGACTTGTTAAATCCATTAATAAAAAAAATTAAAAAATAGAAATTACATCATCCCCTTCCAGGATGTGGGTGGTCACCTGACAAACACGGACACAGACACAGTGCAGGTTTTCTAATGTATTTATTGCCTCTGTCTTCAACACTCACCCCTCCCTTCCCAGAGGAAAACACGCATTGTACCAAGGGACACTGCAAAGTCCTTGAAGAGGGCAAGCCCTGCTCAGCAGAAACCAAACCACCCCTGACTGAACCACAGCATTCCCATCTTGAATCCAAACCCAGCATGTGCCAGCTCTTGGGAAGAGAGGAACCCCATGGCAGTCAAAACTAGAGCAGTGGGACAAGCATGAGTGCTCTTTGGAATATCCAGATTTATTTAGAGCAGAGGCTCTGCAGAAGTTGGTGAGCTGCTATGAGAAAACTCTTGCTGTCCTCGCCAGCCATTTCAGGAGAGCTCCCCAGAGACAGAGGAACTTCTCCTCCCTTTGCCTCTGGGGGATCTTCTCTGGCACAGGGTAGTGGTTGTTTGAAGTTGGTGCCGCTGCAGTGTCCTGGGAGCCGGGGCTTGACACAGGTGGCAGCAGCACTCTTCCTGATGTGCTGCCACTTGCTCCTGGGGAGGATTCATTGCAAGGGGCTGAGGTCCGGTTCTGATTTCCAGGCTTTTCCAGGCCATGTTCATCTTCAGGGATGAGCCAGGGCTGTGATCCCTGAATTGGGTGGGGCCGTGATGTCACAAAGGGGCTGAGCGCTGGGGTGATGCAGGGCCGTGATGTCACACAGCTGTCCTGGCCATAGCACTGTGACATCACCACGCCAGCCCTATATAAACCAGGCCAGCCCCCGCAGCTGCCAGTGCAGTCGCCATGGGACGTGCCGTAGCCATGGGTGACGGTGGCGTCCTGATGGCTGCCCTTGTCCTGCTGCTGGCCGCTGTGGCTGTCTGCTGGGCCGGTGGCCACTGGAAACCACGGAGGCGGCAGACGAGGAAGCGCCCCAGGGTTAGGCCCAGAGGCCCATGGAGGAACCGAGCAGCCCCTGAGGCTCCCAGGTTCTCCAGGCCTCGGGCCACCCCTCGCCGGCGGCCAGGTGCTCCCGCAAGCCCTCTGGAGAGCTCCAGCAGCTGCGGTCCCTGCATGGCAGTGGCCCAAGAGCTGCAGGAAGTGATGATCCGGCACTGGGCACACAATGGGACATCTGTGCCACTCTTCTTTGGGATGTGGCTGGCGTTGTGGAAAGAACTGGAGAAGCTGATGAGGTGAGGCCACCTGCCCTGCTGTGGCTCTCCCAGCTTCTCCAGAAGCCGCCATCCCTTCAGGAGGCTGCTCCCAGCAAGACTGGCCATCCTTGGGAGAGCCTCAAGCCTTGCAAGGATGGCACAGCAGAGAAGACCCGCCATCCATGCAAGGAGCTCAGGCTGTCAGAGAACGTCCATGGTGCCAGGAGCCTCCGCTATCTCTGACAGCCTCCATCCCTCGGAGAGGCTCAGCCAGACCTGTCAGCCTGCAGAAGGTGCAGAGCCCAGGGACAGGTCTCCCAGCTTCCTTGGACCCTTGGACTTCAACAACATGGGCGTGACCCTGAGCACTGACATGGCCAGGGAAAGCCCCCAGGTCCAAGTGGGAGCCCAGCCTGATCCAGGGGAGCCGTCTCAGGAGCAGGTGGAGGAGCAGCAAGTGTCCTGGAACCAGCAGCTGCAGGACCACAGCTCCCAGGTGACGGTGCTGGATGTGCCAGCTGGCAACAGCCCGTGCCTGGTAGAGGAGACAATTCTCGAGGGAACAGGGAGTTTCCTCCATCTCCAGGAAGCTGCTCCCATAGAGCCACCAAATACCAACAAGGCTTCTGTACCGGCAGGTGAGACCTGAGGAGCTGTCTGAGGCTGCCATGGGGCTCTGGAGGGGCATTCGCAGGCCAGGCCAGGGCTTCTGAGAGCAGCCTAGAAGCAGGTCAGAGCAAGGTGGCCGGTGCTGGCTGTGGCCACTGCACTGGCGGGCACTTGGGGGGTTCCTGGCAGCATCAGGCCCTGTGATGGAGGCATTGTCTTCTCCTCACAGCCCGACGGCACCTGTGTTCCACTGGAGATCGTGCTAATGGAAAAGGTAGGCTTTGGCTGCCGCAGAATTATCCAGCTCCTCGACTGGTTCGAGCTGCCTGACAGCTTCGTTCTGGTGATGGAGCGTCCAGAGCAATCTCGGGATCTCTTGCACATCCTGCTGGAGCAAGAGTTCCTGAGCGAGGAGGCGGCACGCTGGCTTTTCTGGCAGGTGCTGGAGGCCGTGTGGCACTGCACCACCTGCGGCATCCTGCACCGGGACATCAAGCCAGAGAACCTCCTCGTCAACCCGGAGACTGGCGACCTGAAGCTGATCGGCTTTGGTTGTGGCACCTTCCTCCAGGAGCGGGCCTGCACACAGTTTGCCGGTGAGCCCAGAGCGCGGGCCCTGCTCCCAGTGCCAGGCACTGCACAGCCCCATTCCCTCCTGGGCCGTAGGGTGCAGCATTCAGCCGGCTGCCGGCTGCCCTGTGGCACGGGGCAGGTGCTGTGCCCCAGGAGCCGGCTGCCAGCCCTGCCGACAGAAAGGGGCTGCAAAAGCCGGGCCCCGGCTCCTCGGCTTGGCAGGCCCACAAGGCCTTGGGCTGCTCCACTGGCGTTCTCAGCCTTGCAGAATGGTTTCTTGGCTTTGGCCCATTGTCAGGGGGAGGCAGGCAGGCCTTGGGGGGAAGTTGTGGCCATGGCTGCAGCCCC